GATCTTGAGGTTAACTCTTGCAAAAGTTAAAACTTGGCAAAGTCGATTGACCAACACCAACGGCAATGAAAACGATAAAAGTTTATACATGGTTATACAGATTGCCTAACTTTCAATTTTAACAACTGCAACGCGAACGACCAACGACGAACGTCGAGTTTATAAATCGGCTTTGCGGTTTATGTGATTTTTGCAAGACTTTTCGTGAGTACTCATTTACTAAAACTTTCTGCCTTCGGCCTTTTTTGGACCAAGGCGTATTTTTGGCCGGAATGTGCCCAAACCCGAAGTTTCGGTCGGTCTGATTTTCAGGTATTTTTGTGATAGTGTCGGTGTGGAGCGGTGCTCTCAATATGGTTGATAGGACTTTTTAAATGGCGGTATTATCGTTTAGTCACAATTTATAGAAATGTGTTTTTAATTTATACACGTTTGAGTGAAGCTCTTATGAGGAACACGATATACTCTCGCATTATTGCAATTTCACTCAGTACCAAATTTATAGAAATATTTAAAAAATTGATCGTAGGATAACAAAGAGGCAATACAATGTTAGCTCAGAAATTGAAGAAGATTCGTGCTTGGTATTTGGCTTGGAAATTGAAATAAATACTTTCCGTCGTATTGATGTTTTCTCATATTTCATTTCGTATCAAAAAACAATTATATAAAATAAAATTAACCGATGACATCTGAGCAGTATAGAAACGTTACATGTACAACTTGAATGTTATCCTGTGATCAGTTTTTTTAAATATTTAGAAAAAAACCTGTTAATTCCACAATTTCTGACGTATTCAGGAGCTTGGTATGGAAGCTAAGCTCGGTCCAGGTGCATTCCGATTTCATCGCTACCGATCGTATTATCTGTAGTTATACGACCGGCGGCTAAGTAGAACTTTTAGCTGCGATTGTTGCACTATTAATACCTTAAGTAGTGCAATTCTTAAACCCTATGGGGTGAATGAAAAGCAGCTAGCCGGTACTTGGAAGCGAAGTATGCCCAGGAATCCACAGGCATTCTTGTATGCTTTTTAAATAAACTTTTCAGCTAAATTGTTACAAAGTACATAGATAGATAGTCTGGAATTGAACATGACGGTATCATCTAAAGTGTATTTACACTCAAGATAGAATGGATGCATGATTGCCCAAAGCAAGCACGGCGTACAGGGCCGCATTCAGGGCTACCTCTGAATGATGGACTACCACCAACGTGTTGTAAAACAAAGATGTCAGTATTTAACAGAAACAGAAACTTAACAAATTACTCAAATACACTTAACAACAACAACTGCAACAACCAAGCAAGGTGAATACGAAAACACGAGCACGCAGTGATACACACGACGGACGGTGGCCTGAGTGCAACTCTGCCTGCCCTGTCCCGCGCATTATTCCGCCAGGCGACCGCTTGAAATTTAATGGAGAATTGACCAATAAGAGGCATTGTCCCCACCTGTTACCGAGAGATCACGCGCTGTTATTATTTACATCTCATCTTGAATTTGGATTCATTCATTAATGGGAATTAGAGCCTTCCCTCACAGGGATGCGATGGAGACGTCGCCAGTACCTGTAGCCAAACCAACCTCTCCAAATATATAATATAGCAGCTCCTTGATTTCAACGGGTTAATTTGGCCACGGATGCTGGCGACGGTTCCCAATCGGGGAGTGCCCTTAGGCTCATAAGGCATTCAAAAGGATGCCGAGCTGTTAGAGTTTCTGCATATGCCATATCCCACTATCTTAAATTCGTGCTTCCTTTTTCTTTTAAGCACCTGGAATGCAAATGTTGGACTATCCTCGTCACGATTTTGGTTTTCCCTTTGCGAAATAACAGCTACAAGATGGATAACTTGTAAGAAAAATGGTTAAAAAATAAGGATCAGGGGAAAAGTGCGCTTAATCAGCACTGCTGAAAAAAATTAGTAAAAATGATTCCGTCGACATCCCGCCCGTTAGTGTTATCATATATTAAACAATCTACTGATTTGGGCATAATTTGATACTTCGCCATAGGTAACTAAAGATCGACACAATACTTGTAGAAGTGTATGGTCACCTTAAGCATGTTCCGATGAGGATTTCACATCTTTTGGTTCTTTTGGCTTTGGCAGAGACTGGGGACGCAGCAGAGCAAACTTGACCGTTGCTGACTGGCCTGGTCGTCGCTTCTGTACGGGTGACTTGGAAAATATACTGCAACGTCTAATATCTGATGCAAACTGACAATTTGGGGCTGGGGAACGCAACATGTACCACATTCAAACAAGGTTGCATTTACTGAAATGCATTAAACATTAAGAAATATGGGCTGAACTGCTTTGCTTTCCGTCTCTGTTAACAAGACCAACCGCAGAAAATGCTGTGTCGTGGTTTTTAACCCTCATCAGTACCGTATAACTCTAGTCTTGGAAACAGACGATTTGGGTATGGTCTTTTGAAAAACTCAAAATGTTGTGCGCAAATAGGTGGTTCGCTTTCCGTTAGTATGTCTCAAAGACTACTAGCCTATACGGTACCGATGAGTGCAAAACAGTATTTGTCTGCAGTTGCCCATGGTTACAGAGACGGGAAGTAAACATTCAGTTTAGCCTGTGTCTATTGCTGATATCATTGTAAGTACCTTGTGTCCTGGCTCCTTGAGAAGTGGGGCGTCATTATACAGATAAAACCAAATATTATTGACAAGGTAATGTGTACGAGAGAGAAGCGTGCAATACGTATGTTAAAAAGAGTGCGCTGATGGCAACGCGGCAAGCCACAGCTGCGTTCATGACCTCGTCACTCGGGTTGCTAGGCAACGTGATTCTTCTATCTCTTTCTAACATATGTATAGCATGCTTCTCGTGGTTCCCTTCTCGTACAAATTACAATGTCAGTGGCAGACGGATTTCCCTGTATGTGTCGTACATAGTACATAATTAGGTCTAGCAGTTATAATCCACAGGCTGACATTTTCAACGGAAGAGCTTTCGCGCACCAGTTGTAGGTAGAGCTTCATCACATTTGTTACCTATTTACGACATGAAAAAATATATTTATTACAACATCTGAAATTTATCATATGGTTTCCAAGCTTATAATGTTTTCTAGTCGTTAAATGAAACCACATATGTAGGCTTGAGTTTTTTATAAATCATACTATTATATAGTGTGTTGCAAGAACATCTTCACAATTTTCAGATAGCACCACACAAACCCAGCAAGTTCCCACTCCCACTCCCAAAGACATCCAGCATCTCCAAACTGATAAGCGAGGTTATCTGATGTTTTCAATGAGCCAGGCACGTCGCCTTAGCTCATCGCCCGCAAAAAGCTAATCGACCTCGATAACGCAAAAATCCTCAACTGTTGTTGCAACACACCTGTTGACTGTGTTCGCGTTCCTGAGGTCACTTTTGTTTTCTTTTTGAGCAATGAGCCAGAGTAACGTGTCTGATGGTACATGCAAAACAACAGATAACTTCACGATCACTTGTCGGTGTAGGAAAGGTGGATCTCTTTAGGAGCAGGAGTACCTACACCAGACGGTCTTGGTCTTTGTAATGATGGCTTATAGCGATCTCGCCTTGGTGCATTACAGTTCAGGTTGTCGTTGCAACACACTGTATAGTAATGTCAAAATAAATGAACTGCCACTTGGAATACAGACAAATGTGAAATAAATATAAAATATATTAACACTGTCGCTTTTGTGACCTGTAGTTTGAAATAGGCCAACGAGGTCGCCGAAACGTTGGTGAAAACTACGCACGAGGTCTATAAATTAAGTGATGAGTCTTGCAACGTAGCGTTCGATCTGGCAACATGTAGGCGCTGGGCTTGGAGGAGAGACAGGGGAGCATGTGGTCCGCGTTCAGTACAAGTTTGAACTCGCTCGAGTCCTTTGGTTATATGTACTTAGCGATTTTTTTGTGAAACAATTTTTTCTAAAATGAGTGACATCAATTTCGAGCAACGGTGTGTTATCAGAGGTTATGCTTCAGACTTGGGTACAGAGCAATGGAAACTCTTGCTAAACAGGCCTACGCAGATAGTGGTTTGTTAAGGGCCCAGGTTTCTGGGTGATTTAAGGCATTTTCATGAAAATATCGACAGAATCCGGGATCTCGTGCGTTCAGATTGTCGGATGACAGTCAGAATGATCGGGAAAGAGATAAATTTGACTCACACCACCGTTCGTCAGATCAAGAACAACTCTGTGTTGTATCAGGATAATCCTCCTTGTCACACAGCAATGTCAATAAACCAGTTTTTGGCTGGTAAAAACATTCATGTGGGTCCTCATCCTCCTTATTCGCCTGACTTAAAAGTCTTTGTAACTTTTTTCTTTTCCCGAAGTTGAAAAATCATCCAAACATCTGAAACTGACCAGCTGAAGGCTACTCCAGTATCAGAGTTCCAGCACTGCTATGAAGAGTGGATGAACCGTGTCCAGCGCTGTGTGGCTTCAGATTGTGACAATATAAAAATGTAATTATATTTGAATTAAAAAATGAAAAAAATCATCTACATCACTCAATTTACACACCTCTTATGTGGTTGCATTAACCTGATTCCATAATACAAAACCTACCCAGACGAACTCATGTTTCAAATACAGTATGTACATATGCGTTCCGCAAGTCTGCAGCAAATCTATTTCACTTGCTTACTTAAACAAGTTTTTTTTTTTCATATTTTGACTAAAATCTCAAACCTGATCACGAGGCACGGGGCTATCTAAGTGCTGAAAACAATGCACTTTATCATTATCAAAAGTATTCGTTGAAAGTTGAAAGTATACCAAACCGTATCTGCTTTTGCGACAGGCTGGCGGACTATATTTGAACTGCGGGTGGATATTATCTTATGGTATCTGGGTATATATGGGAGGTCAAAAAGGTTGATCCAAATCAGATTGTATCGCACTTTTTAGATTCTTTTGTATTGTATAAAAAATAACTGTACTAGCGCAAAGGCAGTTGCATTAAAGCTGGGTCAGATCATCGTACATCCCAATGATCATCTGTCAATATGTATAGGAAATTCATCCAACGTACTTTTTCTCTAAGGAATTTTACTTTTATCCACACCGTTCTGAAAATAGTAATAATTTTCACATGGCTGATGATTGTTTTTGCATAGCCATCTGTTTAGTCATCACTCACTCTTTGCTTGACATGATTTTTCCTCTTCTGCCATAGCCTTCAAAATCTGGTTCGGGCCTCCTGTGCTTGTAGTACTAAATCAGTTTCATGCAAGTATTCTAAGTCACCAGATAGTTAAAATGAATGACTTATTTCAATAATATAAACTATTTATAATTCTTAAAAATGTAACATTATAGACTATAGAGTATTTATCTTTATTCTTAATCTCATATATTTGAAAGAGGATCCTCACTAGCCTCATCTTTATCTAACTTCTTTAAACTTGATCTTTTCTTCGTTGCTCTTTTTGAAGATTTTGTACCTGTGCCTAAAAGGTTAACGTATTTTTTAGAACGCTGTTTTCTTTAGAATGTACCATATTCATATCTACTATCATGTAAAGTCAAATTGCGCCTTTTTTAAGAAACAATCGGCAAAAATACCCTTGCGCGCAAGTAGGTGAAAACCTGATGATCGCCACCTACCAATGGTTAGGCAAGCCGATTTTCACCCTCATCCCGTACGATGATGATGATGATGATGATGATGATGATGATGATGATAATGATTAAGGTCAATTTATAAGCACTGACGTTCGGTACGACTGTCGTAGCGTAGAACTTGAATCATGCGCTTGACGTTAAACTGTTTATAAAAAATTCCGCAACGTTCGTCCACAACGCTGACGCTAGACTTACCGTTGCCGTTCCCGATTCCAACAATGAAAGCGAGCCTGCAAATCATGTGACATGACCTGTTTTGTTTTGCTGGAATGTTTTGATATATTTTATTTAGTTTATTTAAATAATAATATGAATTATTAGGAGATGTGTGTTACAAGTCTTTTCTTCAAAGTGAAAAAGAATGAAATTTTGGTTAAAGTTAAGCATCACGCGCCGTAACGTTAGCAAGTCTACAAATTGATTTTGATTGCCAGCGGCAGCGTTACGGTAATGTCAGAGTTTATTAATCGGACTTTACGCTCTCCGTCCCGTAATCACTCTACGTTCTTAGTATTCCGCACGGGTATCATGTAAAAAACCTACAAAACATCGAAAAAAAACCTATAAGATGTCAACTTGCAGACTAGGTAGTTTTTAGGGCACAAACAGTCATTCCACGTTTGCTCACTAGGATCGTTGTTAACGTCCATCTATGGAGGAATCACTCAACTAAACTACGCATTATTGGTTGCATAATTTTGTGAGGCTGGGTGATCCGGGTCTGTAGTTTTATCTTTGAGAAGAAAGTTGGTTGAATAGCAAGATCGCATCTGGATGATTATGTGTATTGGTCTGCATGCGTATAAAATCAGTGATATTTGCTGTGTGAGAAAATTATTTCCGAATATGACAAAGTTATAAATTACGAAAAACTGAGGATAATTACGGGAAATCATCACCGCGCCCGCGTTGTGTGTAATTACTGTTAGCATGTACATGGCTTGTAATTCGACAGTGTACAGTGAATATAATTATTTCTTATCTCTCTCATTTTTTAAATTCAGCAAATTTGTATATGTAAATTCCAGAATGGATAAGAAAAAGTGGATGCGCAAATAATTTCTAGCTTTGAATCTCAATTAAGTGTATTTGAGACAAGAACCCAATGTAATTATCATCAACACATACAACTTACAGCTTAGACCTCCAGTAATGCCATCTCAGATGCAGATTTTAGATCACAGCAGAGCCAAAGATTGATAACAAGCCTCATGACGTTTAGGCAACGCGTACAACTAAGTGCTAAGTTAACATCTTGTAGAATAACCTAAATAATGTCAAAAAAACAGCATAATGTCAAAAAAAAAATCGGCGTAATATCACTTTCCAAGATACGTGTTACCCGTGCCGGTCACTGTGCTTAGCAGATAACATCGAGCTGTTATGGGCCAGAGAGCGAAAGGCCTCTCTGTCATCTTCATCGTTTGTGATGAGGATAAAAATCAGGTTGGCAAACCACTGATAGCTGGCAATCGTCATATTTTCACCTACTTGCGCACAATGTTTTTAGTTTTTAAACATCATACCCAGTTGCTTGCTTCCCGTTTCGTCTGACGCCAATACTAGACCTATATCGAACTGATACGTTGCTAATAAGCACGAAACAGCGCTGTCTGCGGTTCGTCATGGTTAGAGATGGAAAGCAAGCATATGAACTACAGCCGAGAACTACATACTAAGTTGGAATGGGATCGATGCAATTTGAAAAATACAAGTGTTACAATTTAAAAATTAAATCAAGAAACAAAGTGGACTCACCACTAGGGGCATCTTTACTTTTCGCGCTCGAAAACAAATCATCGTCACTTTCACTATCATCAAATAAGGATTTTTTCTTGGCAACTTTCTTGATTTCAGTTTTCGTTTCATCTTTACTGCTTTTAGACCCAAACAGGTCGTTATCTGATTCATCACCAGAATCAAATAAGGAACTCTTGGTTTTCGTTGGTTTTTTTACAGTACGCTTGAAAAAGTCATCTTCCGATTCAGTAGATTCGTCAAAAGGAGATTTGTCTGTTTTTTCTGGTTTGGAAGACTTTACTGGAGTTTTCTCTGCTGACTGACTAGATACATCTATTTTTTCATCAATAGTAGAATCCACCTTATCATCAGTCGATGATATGACATCATCTTCAGATTTAGACTTAGAAGGCGACTTAATGGAATCTTTGGGTATAGAATCTGTATTTTGAATCGAGTCTCTAAAAATATCATTTTCATCACTGTCATCAAATAAGCTTGTAGATGCCGTTTTCTTAGATTCTGTTTTAGCTTTAACTTCATCATCAAATAATGATGTATTTTCTTTACTGTCTTTCTTAACTTCGGACTTTCCTTTGTAAACATCCGTTTTTAATGGTGATGCATCTGGATCAAGAAACAATTACTAGTTTGTGAAAGCAGTTATAAAATATGTTGTTACAATATCACCTATATCTTCCCGATATCCCTATTGGTATTTAACGCTATAACCATATTTTATCATATGCGTGGTTTTCTTTCACAAGGATCTTAGAATTATACACTGGGTTAAATCAGATATAAACATTGAATACTAGCTCACCTTTCTGTGTAGACTTTTCATCTAAGTCGGCATCTTCTAAGAAAATTGCGGATTTCCGAGCTGCTTCTTGTCGTGCTTGTCTTGTCGAAGGCTTTCGTCTAACAGGAATCCTTGCGCGATCCTGGATACAAAAATATATTATACTTCCAGACTCCAGAGCAGCATTTTAGGAGTTTTCTTACCTTTGTAACACTATGCAGTACTTTAACTCTATCCAAGCTATCATCAAAACTAATTGGTTTCTCGACATGTTCTTCTACCGAAATAGGGAGTGGAGGTGGTATAGAACAACTAATTGGATCCTTGCGCTTATTTTCTGTTTGACTATCAACTATTTTGACAGGTTTTCTCTCTGACAAACTATCTACTTTGTCTTTGTCACCACTCTCACCTACACGAGGAGTTTTGAGCTTTGGAGGTGTACTGCCTGGTAGTAGAGCATTCACGTTTATGTTCAGGTTGGGTTTTAATTTTAAAGGCGAACCTACAACATAATATACATACAGGGTGATTCACAAGTCGTAACCAAAAACGAAACATCTTACACAGGACCGCATTCTAAGAGGTTCTATGTAACATTTTTTCCCAGAGGGCTTCATTAAAAAGATACGTGGTGTTGAAGTTTAAAAATAAAATAACAATTTTTTCAACATCTTCAAAACCGTCATCTGGAATAAACTAAAATTTGGTATGTGGATTAACCTAAGTATTGTCCACATTCAAAAGTCTTCACATATAATTAACGTGCACCAGTGGCGGAGATACAGGGGAATTGTGGCATTATTTTTCCAAATAAAAATAGTACGCCACTCTTTTTTATTTCGAAACTAGTAATTTTTCCTCTAATTTGCTCTTGGATTTTTCGTTGAGTGTATTGTAAAACAAAAAAAAAACAAATTAGATAATCAGAGCTTCATTTCAATGAATGATCAAATATATCACCATTCTGACGGATACAAGTGCGGCATCTTTTTAATAAAGAAAAACGCATTTCCGCAAAATTTGTTGTGGCTTGAATTTGATGAAACGCATTATCTATTCTTTCTTGTAACTGATCGACAGTATTGATTTATTCAGCATACACTAGTTGTTTAAAAGCGCCCACAAAAAGAAGTGAAGAGTTGGTCATTGAAAATGCCGCACCAGACATTTCTAGAAAATATGTGTTGAAACGAGTGGATTCTTACAGAACGGGGATTTTCTAACAACCAAATATGTTCATTATGAGGTTCCACTCCTCGTAAAAAGCGATTCATCTGACCACAAAAAATATTCCACAGAAACGGTTTTCCGGTAACTGAGAATTGGAGAAGAGCCATAGACTCAGAAGAAGTTGTCATAGCAGTATTTTTTTATTTGAAGAGGGCATTTGAAACGATTGATAGAGATATTTTGTTAGGTAAATTGAAGGCACATGGTATATCAGGAAGTGTTTTAGATTGGTTTAGAAATTATTTATCTAAAAGGATGCAGGTTACAAAAGTTAATGTCACTATTTCATCAAGAGTTGAAAATACGTTGGGTGTTCCACAGGGCAGTATCCTGGGACCACTTCTTTTCATTTTATACATAAATGATTTACCTGCCATAGTCAAAAAATGCAAAATACAGATTTTCGCCGATGACACTATGATTTATATAAGTACTAAAAATATTCAGACTGGTATCTCTTATATAAATGAAGACTTGAAACTTGTCTCAAAATGGTTAGCATCTAACAGACTAAAATTAAATACAAGTAAAACGAAAGCTATGTTAATCGGAACAAAAAAATGTACAAATGTTCAACTGAATATTGATGGTAAAGATATTGAATTCATAGAAAATCTTAAATTCCTGTTTTTGTTGACTCTCGATTAATTTTTGATATTCATTTTGAAAAAGTTATAAATAAGATTAGTAGTAAAGTGAGATATGTATCAAGAGTTTCTGGATGTCTGAGTTCATATAGCAGAAAAATTATCTTAAATACCATCATTCTTCCAAATTTCTTGTACTGTTCGACTATTCTATATTTAGCAAATATTTCCATTTTTGAAAGACTGCAAATTTTACAAAATAAGTGCATGAGAATAATACTGAGTAAAGATAAATATACTCCAATTAGACAAATGCTTAGCAAATTAAAATGGCTCAATGTAAAAAATTTTATCAAAAATCTCTTGTAATAATATTCATTTATAAAGTAAAGAATAATATATTTCCATCAAGTCTAACTAATTTAACATCATCAAATGTCGACCATCATTTACATAATACCAGAAGATGACTTCCATTTAATGACAAAAAAGTATAACATATGCTACAAATCTGTTTTCCATCAAGAGTTGATTGAATATAATAAATTATACACAGAGATAAAAGATCAGAAAACTTTGACAAAATTTAAATCAAAATTGAGGAATCACTTGTGAAATCTACAATTATAGGTTGCCCAGCATTTACATCATACATCATATGGCTTGAATTTACTAATTCTAAGTTGTTTACAATTATTCTGTTTATGTAGCCAAATGTACTAAATAAATCTTTCTACTACTACTACTACTATACTACTACTACTACTACTACTACTACTACTACTACTACTACTACTGCAAAACCAAATCAATAAAATCTGCATTTTGATTATGTATGCACTCACAAAAATGTCGCCATTGCACTTCGTCGCCGGGTTGCAGACATTGCATATTTTGCCGATGGTAAGGATGTAAAACTTTCCGATTTAAAATTCTCCACGCAAGACTTTTTGAACATGGTAACTGAGTTGCAATCCGCCTAGTACTTCCACTAGGATCATCCAACGCCAAATTAATCACTTACAGTTCCTCTTGAACAGTATGCCGGACACCATGGCCTCTAAGGCCGGGAAGTTTGTCAATTCCATATTGCCGAAGTCTTAGAAATGAACGCGTAAAATCCTTTGGAGTAGGTTGGCGTCTGTTAGGAAATCTACTTTGATACTGCCGAGACGCCACTAAAGCATTTCCGTACACAAAAATAATATCCGCGTATTCATCACTGCTAAATTCCATTTCACAACACTCAAAAATGGAAAAAAGAAACTTTTGACTTGACTTTGACAAAGGTAGTAGTAACGATAACAACCGTATAACACATAACTTTGTCAAACTATCTCCCAAGAAACGTCAAGTTGGTATCAAGGCCCCCTATTTTATTTTGAAACTTATTGTATCTCGGCTCTTCATGAATGATAATGAATTTGTTTTATTTTTATTTTTACGAAAACAATGCACTCTAGAAAAAACAAGAGTAATTATTTGTAGCAAATAAAAAAAATGCGCGTTTACAAAAAAACACTGGCGTACCATTTTTATTTGTAAAAATAATGCCACTAATCCCCTGTATTTTGAATGTGGACAATTCTTGGGTAAATCCACATACCAATTTTAGTTCATTTCAGTTGACGATTTTGACAACACCTCGTATCTTTTTTAATGAAGCCCTAGAGGAAAAAAAGTTACATAGAAGACCCCCTTAAAATACGGTCCTGTGTATGATATTTCATTTTTGTTCACGACGTCTGAATCACGCTGTATATTAAAATCACGACTACTATCATTTTGAACATTCATCAAATTCATAAAAAGTCCGAGTATGCGTTAGTAACTTCACCCGCTGCAACTCTCGGTTAAACAGTTGGCATGTCAGAAGATGCCCAGAAGACTATTAAGCTCTTCTCAAATCAATTTAGCTTAAATCTCATATTCTGAATTAACCAAGAACAAATCATGAAGCTACATATGTTTGGATCTCGTACTTTACTGACTCTTGTGCGGAATAATTTAGTACACGATTAATACGTTTCATTTAATCATTTGATACCAAAGTTACCTCTTTTAGCAGGTGATCCCGAAGAATCTTCTTTCTTTGCATCACCATCACCTTTTTCACTCTTCATACTCGTACTCGAGCGTTTTTCCTGTTCAACAGTTCCTTCAATTTTTGTGGTTCTAGATTTAATACCTGTAAAATAACAACATCGAAATCCTCACACAGAGTGCCATCACAATATCCTTCAATTGCAGGTGGAACTAGTATAGAATTACAGATATCAAAGCTAACTTATTATACTGTTTTTCATAAGCTGAGATCAGAGGTTCAGGCGTAAATGAATTAGGATAGATAACGTTTCCAAAACATCAATGCTGGCTATACTGTAGACAACAAATGATACACAGATTCGATTAATACAGTTATTAGAGCATGACGTAAAATAGCATACAAGAATTTCAAAAATATTTACATTCCGTAAACACTTCCAATCTTTGGGAAAGGTTAAGATGAGGATCAAAGTTTTGCACTATAGTGCTTTCGGAAACGTAGTGCAATCATGCATGAAACAATGTCTTAAAAACTAAACCAACTCAAAGTCCACCCAAAATTGAAAGACTATTTGTCAGTAATTCAGCACATACTGTCATCAGATTTTTCAACATCAGTCGCTGTTGAAGTCTCCTCAGTTAGGCCATGCGTAGTAGATGTAGACTCCAGAGTGTTATCAGTTATAAGAAAGCTAGTATCACCCATTATATCACTTATGATTTTATTTGTTAATTCAGTAATTGAGCTTGACTCTGCGCTTGAAGGGAATACGCTAGACTCGGTGGTACTTCCGGTGACAAACAGCTTGTCTTGAGATTGCTGCTCCGCAAAAATATCAGAAGAAAATCGCTTTGACGAGCTGGCATGCGGGTAAAAAGACGAATCATCTGAATCCACTCTAAAAAAGTACAACAAGCTTAAACAAAAGATTCGCAGATTTCGTGTTAATTCAATTACAAAACAGAAATGATAAAAAATGGTTATCATGAATCATATTGCACTCCTTATAAATGTAGACTCAGAAGTATCCCATTACCGAAATTTAAAGTGAATAAAATTTGAATTAATACCTGCTTGCACAAACTTTTCACACCTTAGGTAAACTGTTTCTGGACTTTCAACAATGTTTGAGTGCCAATTCAATTTCCAGTTCAAAGTTTATCAGACTAGGAGTATTAGTAGTAAGAGTATTTATCACTTTTGAATGTAGACACTTATTTTATCTCTCTTTACTTTTTAATGTGCAAATTTAAGTACGTTTTAACAATTAGAATGCTCACAGTAAAAGTTATAGATGGTGATATAACCAAAGTAGATCACACTAATGCTTGTATCCTTTCGATTTTTTAAACCGCTCTTATCATTTTTGTAGATATAGTAGGAGATAGGACGAATACCAGTAATTACCGACCCGTATCAATTATAACAAACTAAGCAAAAATAAATACTTGAAAATATATTATCAGATTACTGAAAAATCCATGAGCACAAACTAATAAGCGAAAATTAATACAGAACAAATGTAAGTTCTGAACAGGCCACATTACGTTAATCAACACCGGAAACTTGATAAAAAGTAAAGTAGAGTGCTTTTGCGGCTATTTTTACTAAAAACTGTATTTTTTGAAGACTATGGGTGAGGGTAAAAATGGCGAAAATCTAGTGATGTTGCAAACAGAAGAAGAAATCCAAGGATACCAAATCTTGAAAACGATAGTGTGGAATAATTGATAGAAAATGGACGTTGTTCTATTAGGACCCGGGGAACTATATTCTTCGACGTTTTTTGATATAATCGTGGCTTTCCAGAATATATTTATAAATAACAGGGCAAAAAACGCAGTAGTCATCCATCAGTTTTATCTCCTAAGACGACGAACTTTGTGAACAAAGATATAAAACTTGTCAGATATGCTGTCGGAAAAGCAACAGAATTCCGCTTTCTACTGGTTATTCAACTCTACTCTACTACTCGTTTTCGAAATTTGGCAGTTAATACTATACGTGTCGCTAAGTGTACCACGTAGACAACGCGTTGTTAGGGTTGCTATGAACATGACGTTTGGATGACGAAAACGGTGTGGTTTATAACATGGACGTCGTCTTGAATAGGAAGGAATAACATCAATCTGATAGAACGACGTTAACGCAAGGCGCATTTAGCGTCCGTATAACATGTTCCTTAAGATACCTTGTGACATTTTGATCCCTGACAATGCCACTTGATTCATTCGGATTCAGCGATGGTGGCTCGTTGTCAAACAAACTCGACCTGCTGCCATTATCATCAATACTGTACGGTCTATAATCATCATTATCTGAGACATTGTCCGACTTTGTGTCCCAATCATCTTCATCATCAGAAGGTGGAGCAGAACTGAACAAACTGATGACAGGTTTTTGTTCTTTCGGCTCTTCTTTTGTACTCGAGAGAATTGCATTAGATGATTGGGTTTCGAATAGTGAACCATCTTTTATTTCAGTTGGTTTGGTTTCTGAGAGTATCTGATCGTTGCTCTGTGTATGAGATAACGTTTCGTCTATTTGTGGAATTTCACTTTCGTCTACAAGCATACAAAAAACATGTTATTGAAGCAATTCTTGAAATAATGCATTGATTTAGTGCAAAAACGAATAAACCTAACATAGTCTCTCGTATGTTTGACCTACTGATATGAGCTTTAGCAAAAAAATATAGTATATTCACTGAGTATGTTATAGAAACAGCAGCTTTTCCAAGTTTTTGATTTCCCTGAAATTTCTTTCGATTGCGCCATAGAATCTAATAGCATGTGGAATTTTTATAAATTTCCCACTAATCAAAAATAACCATTTGGAACTCGAAAAAGATAAAAAGGTAAACTTTCGTGTTTTTCTACTAAAACGGGTTTGAAAGAAAAATAAAATGTCGAAATGTTTGAGTTTCAAAAATTGTGCATTTAAACGATGATGAATTAGCTTGAAAAACATCAAAAATGTGGTAAAAATTAGTTGCACAAAAATCTCACACCAGGCATTCTTCTCAAAAACATCAACATCATACCTACCTTTTTTAGGTATCCTCACATCATCACCACCACTTTTCTTCTCATTTTTCTTGTTTTTGGACTCGTCATCGCAAACTTCTGCACCAATCACTTTTCTCTCAGACAAACTTTCCACAACCTGTTTCTTTTCAGCTCTTTCCTCCTCAACTTTACTAGGAGGTGGTTCGCTCTTGACTCCATCTGACTGCGCCTCTTCTTCAGTGTCACTAAACAAGCTTGATATCTTTTTCGATTCTTTCACCAGGTCAGGCTTAATAGTTTTACTTTCAAAAATATCTTCTTCGTCTTCGTTATCGCTAAACAACGATGTCTTTTTCGATTTTGAATCGGTTTTCTTATCCATATTTTTACTCAAACTGAACAAGTCACTATCAGTGTCACCCAAATCATCAAACAAGCCTTTTTTTGAACCTTTCTGTATACCTAAATTGGAAAAGATATCATCTTTGAAGAAATCATCGTCGTCATCGAACAGGCTTATCTTCTTCGATGTTTTTGCAGTTAATTTTTTGCTGGCGTCCTCTTTTTCTGGCGAGGAATCAGCAGGTAGGCTGCCTTTAGGCTTTACTGGTTCTTGTTCTTCAAAGAAGCTTGTCTTCTTCTGTGTAATTCCTTCGCTGTTTACAGTAGGTTTTTTAACTGCATTTGTATCTTCGTCTGACACTGAATCATCAAATAGGCTAACTTTCCTTGAAGCTACACCAGAAGAGTTTTCATCAACCGATTCGTCGAAAAAATCTAATTTTTTGGACGTTACACCAGTTTTTTCAGTACCAGATTCAAATAGACCAACTGTTTTCTTGGGAGCGGTAAAGTCTACTTCATCATCGTCATCATCAAAAAGGCTAGGCGTTTTGGACTGCTTTTTGTGGTTTAATAGCTGTTTTGACCTTGATTCAGTTTCTATTTTATTTTTATTTGGTTCTTCGTTGGATTCATTGCCTTTCATTCGTTGCGAGCGCTTAGTTTCGAGTACGTCTGAGATACTTTGGTTTGCGAAAATATTTGTATTTCCAAATATCGACACGCCGCCCACCGGTTTCTAAAAATGATTTGAGAGTTTTATAGTCTAGTCAGTGCTGAACATATGTATAGCATTCATTTTATTTCTGAATATTGCACAATGATGTAATAGTTCGACAAACGAAACGTATTAGGGTGACTACTTTAGGGTTTGCGACGCTAGTGATACTTTTCCATGTTTGGAGCTAAAATCACTTTAAGGTATTGATACCAAAGTGGCAATAAGTTATGGGTGCAGTAACCCAGAGAAGAAATAACAGGAACACGGCTGTTCTGCCATTCTTTCATAGATGACTTTTCAGACGTGTGGGTTACCCGTGATGCATAGTACAAACGTAGTACCAGTGATCAACGTTGGACGTTTACAATTTCTACCGTCACAGCAATGTTGTCAAATTACCACGAAGGATCGCAGTAATGCCTAAGAAAAAATCGGACTCCATTTTCCTTTTGAAGAAAATCGTTTATTAAACATGACATCAACCTTCCTAGGAAAGATCACATCTCAACCTCAAACGCAATTATTCCTAATATTTCTTATTCTCAGAATTTTTCAATGGTGAAAAGGAAACGCCATAACCTGCTGAAACTGTCAGAGAAGTGACAACACTGGGACCTAATGATGGTAGTAATAGTACGACGTCTGCGTTTGACAGCAATGGTTCTTGTCATTTTTTAAGTATAACGGGTGCGAAATTGCGTGCATCACCGAGTTGACATAATTGTAAAAATACTTAAGTTTAAAGGATTAAATGGGAAAATAAAAAGATTGCTACTAGACTCCAGCACATAAAAAAGAAGCAAAACTGAAAACAAAATTTCTACTTTCAACTTTGAACTTGAACATTGCATAACTTACTTTATTATCTACAACAGCTTCAGGCTCCTTTTCTTTATCTTCCAAATCTGGAGGCAAGTCATCAAACAAAGGTGCAGAAGTCTTGTGGGTCTGCAAAAATGGCGGTTTGCTCAAAGCCTTAGCACTTCCGGCAAAAAGATCACTTTCGTCAGTGCTGCTATCACTGTCGAACAGTCCTCTGGCGATCTACGGAATGTAACAACAAACGGACGCGTAGAAAATGTCATTCGTTTAACTAAATCTAGAGATCCAGATCTCGCCGTGTAACTAGACTGTTTAACAACATATTTTCGACTTAACGGCTAAAAATATAGTCGGCTATTTATAAAATTAGCACGCTCCGCGTTGCAACCTGTGGACTTTTGCGGTTTTCGGGATTTAGTTGACATCGCCGTCTAGTAGACTGACTCCGTTACACGGATGCTCTACCATGAGGTGGTATCTAAGCGATATTTATTATCATTACAGTAGAACGTAGTCTTTTGATGTTAAAACTTAAAAAATGACGTCAATTACGTTGAGCCTATACATCCCACGCAAAGCCGGCATCAGTTCGTAAATAAAGCACAAGTTAGCCCCCCTGTGAAAAAAGTTAGCTACGAACGTGTATAATAAGAAAATAAATAGATCAAATCAGTCAAACAGGCCCATCCTTTTCGTCTGTGGTCGCGTACCTTTATGCATTGTAGCAAATATTAAATACCAAAAAACAACTAAAATACACCATTAAAATTCCTCTTTTTCCGTGAAGAAATTTCTTCAAGAGACGTAGGCGTTAGGCGCGGATCGTTGTCAAAGAAGTGTTTAATGCTTTGACTCGGTACTTGTCAGTACTGCCCATAGAAAAAAATTAGACAAACTGTAAAGATTATATAGTTATACAAACATTTATATAAAATAGTCCTAAAAAACTCTGAAATAACAACCTGTGACGTTCTTGCTGCATTTTCAGAACTCCTATCAATTCTATTAGGTTGATCGTTATCAACAAAGACCCTTTTCTGGTTAGACGTCTGTTTTGGTCGTTGGCCCCAGAACAGATCATCATCATCATTCTCATCAAATAGACTTGGCTGTTCTTTGCTACTTCTCTGGTCCTCTGTATAGTCAAGTGGAGGTGGTTCATCGGGATATAGACCACCTTAAAAGAATCCTAAATTGTAGATGTTTTCATTTTTGGTGAAATAAATTAGATGTCTAACACCCCCCAGATAAAATGATCGAATTTTTAGATTTATTTGGGTAAATTCTCACCAATATAATTTGTGTTTGTAGCTGTCTGAATTGGTCTTTTATTGATATCTCCCACTATATCTCCTATGTGTTCCTTCTGACTGATAACATTACCTAATTTTGCTGATAATTGTTCAGCAAATGATTGGTTTGAAATCGGAGCCTATAAAAAGTAAAGATCATTTTCATACACGTGTATATTTTACAGTTAATTATTGATACCTTAACTGCCAGTGATCCCCTTCCCTCGCTATTTTCATCACTGGATGCATTTTCTGCTGGTTTCATATTAGTACTGAACCCAGAATTTGCTGTTGGGAAACTGCCACTTTTATGACTGGAAGTGTCTAGTTCAGAGCTAGTTTCAGATCCTTTTAGCTTAAAATGATAATAAAGTGTATATTAATTATTAATAAAAATGACTCCATTTGGAATAACCAGACAAACTATTAGCTGTGCTGTAAATTTTGTTGAGTAGAATTACTAAAATAATGCTAATGAACTAACCAGATGTTTAGGCAAGCATTCTTCTGAGTCTGATTCACTGTATACTTCTGAAACCTTATCAGATTCACTGTCACTGGATTCTTCATCAATATGCCATTTTTTAAACCACTCATCTGTTCCAATGACAGGTGGAAGTTTCCGATGGACATATAAATCTTTTGGTTTCAAAATAAAGCTGAAAGATGTTATCTGCAGTGAGAAATTAAAAAAATAAACACCCACATCCTTAAGATACCTTTTTTCTGTTTCTTCTTCACTATCACTAACATCAACTTCTACTGCCTCATAATACTCTTCCATCACTTTCAGACCCTCTGCAATTGAATCTAACATCATTTTTTCTTTTTCTTCCTCTGATGGAAATCTTTCTTCAACCTAAAGAACAACATACCAAGATAATATTTATTTACACCCAAATAACTACAAAGAAAACAGAGTGATTAAAGATATATAAAACACAAATGGGTCGCTATTGCAACTGGTTGTAACTGTATAATAGAAGATATAAACACTGGTATGTACATACATTACAGAATTAGATTTTAACATCAAATGATGTTTACATTTAAACAGAATGTTCAGAAGGTATTTATCTTGAGACTGCTTGACTTTTGGGGTTTGTACCCACTGAGACATTTGTTCAAGGCGCTCAGATGCGTAGTAACAGATTTAGTCAATTCAAGTAGATCACATAGATGAGTAGGGCTGATACCCTATTATACTGTCTCACATGTGCCTTATCTTGGTATCCATCGAGCCTTGGGCGCCCAGTGAGACAATTGTTCAGGATATGTAACATTCCACAAATTTAGTCATATTAACCAAAACCACTCTTCCAGAAAAACAGATTAGATCCGATACTCCATTATACTGACTTAGATGACCTATATCTTAAGAACCATTAAGTTTTGAGGTTTGTGCCCTTTCAGACATTTGTCGGTGATGCATATATGAGCCCCTTTCCACTTCAGTTGGCCCACTTCAAGATTTGTACCAAAATATGCCTTTATAAACATGACGTAACTATTTACTTCTAAAACAATTTATTCTCTCAAAAACATTTTAGATACACTCTAGTCGTAAAAAATACATATTTGAAATCACTTAGACCTATATCTAATAGAACATCTGAACAAATAAACAATGTGCGAATAAATGCGCGAAGTTAACAAAGCAACAATTGAAAGAATACCATTGGGTAACATCACCTTTATTTTTTATTACGGCTGAACTTCTTTGGGGCATAGTGGAAAAAAATTGGTGTAAAACAATCCCATATTTCTTGAAGCTTTTGTCTCAGTTCGGTGATTGTACGAGCAGGATGTTGTCGTAGAACCTTTTTCTCTCGCGCCACAAAGTTTCAATAGGTGCAGATCTGGACTGCTAGAAACCCATTTCAAAAGTGGTACATTATTTTCTTCCATCCATTTTATAGCCTTTTTTGAGGTATGGCATGCTGCACCATCTTGCTGAAACACAAAATCTTGACCGGATGTCAAACATTCTTTCATCGCTGATAAAAGCGATTCTTATAAAATTGCCAAATATTTGTTTGTATCCACATTTCCATCAATAAAATGAAGTTTTCCTACTCCTTTTGATGACATACTGCCCCAGACCATAATGGATGCTGGAAATTTCACTTTTCTCTTCAGACAGTCCACATGGAATGCTTCATTTTTTTTTGCGAATAACTCTACTGCGACTGTCACCAACACAAACTTCGAATCGGGCCTCATCACTCCATTGTATTGCACACCATTGTTGAGGTGTCCATTGTCTATGTTCTTTAGCCCATCTCAGCCGATTTTTCTTTTGCAGTGGTGTTAATAGTGGCTTTTCTTTGGCCTATAAAAAAGTTGTGCAACTTTAGGGTTTTTACTTCACTTTTTTTATAAGAAAACTTACCTTGCAAGTGCTAAATCCTAGTTTGTGGGCCTCTCTTTGAGTTATGGACCTCGAAATTCTCCTTCCAACAGCGTCACTCCACAGAGCACTTAATTGTAAATAATTGGCACGAAAGTTTTTCACGATTATTCTTCATAATGCTCTTCGGTCGGCATTTGTGATATTACTTTTTTTCACATATCGTGGCTTAATATTAGCTGAACCAGATACGTTACATCTTCTAACAATATTTCTCACACTGTACCGCGATAAGTCTAACAAAGTTGCAATTTCTTAGTTTGATTTCCCAGAATTAAAAAAATTGATTATCAGTAACCGAATTTTCTCACTAATAACCTTTTCTCTACCCATTTTGAAAACCTTAACTACCCAAAACTATTTTAAATGTATTCTGACAGCTGTGATTAAACAATTGTCATGGCTTTTATTTTTCACAGCCACCTATGCGTTATAGACTTATTTTGCATTGAAATGAAAATAGGTTGATATGCTGTAATTGCAACATGTGTTATTTTTATGCTGCAAATTTGATTAGGGAGTGATAAAGTTGGTGTTCTTTACTATATATTATCAAAATATTCATTGTTAATATTTTAAACCTATAACACCTTGCTACATTTTTATTATTTGTGTTTGATAAGAAAAAAACTAAGATTTCAATAGTTGGGCCAACTAAAGTGGGAAGGGGCTCGTGCATATATATGAAATTTCACAATTTTAGTCATATTAACCGAAACCACTCTTCCACATAGGGCAGAGAGCTGAGTAGGACAGATACCCAATTATACTGACTTAGACAGCCTATACCTTGGGACTTGTTGGGTTTTGGGGCTTGGGCCTTGTTTATGTGTTCAGGATACCAAGATACATGACATTTCACAATTTAACCGAAATCATTCTTCCAGAAACCATATTTTATTGACTTGGGATTAAGTGGTTGAGTAGCATTATGCTAAACGCCCCCTAAATAAAGACGATTTATTATTCTTATTATTATATCTTGGGACTTCAGTTTTTTTGTTTTTTCTAGGTTTTCACAAATTTGCGCGTAACTGAACAACGGTTCGACTTTGTCCTAAGAAAAATGAGGTTAAACGAGTTCCAAATGGAACGAACTATAACCTCTTAAAAGGTCTGTAACATCCTTCCACAGTCTCAAAATCCATGGATCAAACAAAAAAGGGGTGATAGTGGGACTCATTTTCAATCAGAAAACCCATGTACCCTTATCCAATTATGCATGGCTTTGGCTGCCATCAGGTTAGGTAACAAGTGATAGCCTCCATATCCCTTTTATCAGACAAAATCATGTGAAGGTTGCCATCCCTTACACTAATTAGACTTGGCATTAATTTAAAGTTGAGGATTTATTATCCTTTAATCGTTATGTCTTTTGAATGGAATGTATAAGTTTGAGAATGGCAGTTACGGGATAAGTTCATAAAATGGGGTTTTTCAAGTTCCTAAAATAGATACCTGCAGCATTTGATCTATCTTGACCAGGAACTACTTATTTAAGATATCTGATGACACAAGAGGAATTTTGGAAGGCCATAATATCTTAAAGTTTTTTCTAACTGTGTAAAGTTTATTTATCCACTAATGTTTTCTATATAAGCCTACTTGAGTATTTTGTAATACTTTATACAATAGATAAAATTTTACTTCAGCCAATAGCTATACCTCTACATTAACTGGACTAATTTCCCACAGATAGCTTTAACAATATATCATTTGGAAACATATCCTGTAAATCACATATAAAAATAACTTATGTGATGCCTATAGTGATGATCTTCATATAAAGTACTGTTTTGGAAAATTGTACTTACATTTAGTTTTTCAGTGCTATCCAGGGTTTCATCATCTTCATAAACCCTACTTTCAATAAACTGAGTGTTTTTTAAACTATGAAATTCATTTTGACAAATATTCAATTTTAGTTGGACTTCATCAGCACTGTTCAATAAGTGGTCTACATTTTTGCTAATTTCATTTGTCTTCATGAACATATTCTGAAAATATAGAAAGTGAAGTGCAAGTGCAATTTCATAGGCTGTGCAACAATTTCAGAATAAAATATTGCAGTAGATAATTTCATTTATCCTAGTACAGTATATTTGTATGAGTGGTCATATTTTCTTCAATCAGACACAAAATCAGTTAGTTCAAACAAATACAATCAACTTTATTGTAACAAATAAATACATCAATCATTGCACTTGATAGTATAGACTGATAAGTTGATCTTCATTAAGAGTTCATAAATTTTAATAAATGTATTATGAATTTCACATTCATCCCAATATACTCCCAAAAATTTAGTGTCATCATGGAACTTGATCTGTTTGTCATTTAACCCGATATTCATGCTACAGCAACGAGTAACCCCATGAAAACTTTGATTTATAATTTTATGAAAACAGAAATTATTCTTAACACGTTCGCTGCGACCTGCCTCGCGCCGCGCGCATGGTAGCGGCTAAACGATTTTAGGCGCTGCACAAGCGAAGCGCGGATTCGCGTCGTAAGCCTATTGGATGTGAGTTGTGTAATTGAAAACTATTTCATATATACATTTTCTTCTTCTATCTCGTTTTTTTTTCGTGCAGTAACACGAAACATGTCTTGAAACCCTATTAAAGATGTTTCTTTAATTAATTTCAGAACACCACAGTCTTGTGAGTTTATATCAGCCAGAAGCGCGGATCCGCGCCCGCCGCCTTTCGTTAAACATCGGTCGGACGCGGATCAGCGTCGTTCGCAGTGAACGTGTTAAAAAGTGTATATCATCCCATAGCTATTCAACCGTTAGACAGAATATATTAAACAATTTAATTTAGTAACAAAAGAGGAATGTATGCTATAAGATCCATTTTTTTCTAATCTCAAATTGCTTATTTCTCCAATCAGCGTCGTAAGTCGTGTGTGTATGCAGCCTCCCCTTAAGCTTTGGTCTTCAATCTTCTTAACTTGGATCGACAGGCATGTGCCTGTATAAAAAACATCAATACTTACTTGAGCAAACTTTTTAAAGCTGTGTAATAAAGCTACATCTCCAGCAAGTGACCAATTATCAGATTTACTGATTATTTCTTCTGTGGTCCAAGGTTTCTCCCAGACCTTTTTTGTTTTATCAGACATGCTTCAAAATTAAAGTAAATACTGAGCGACGGAATGTTATGAGATTATAGGATAGACCTTTTCGCTTTTGTTGTACGGGAGTCTTTCTTTCTCTTCAAATTCAAAATTATCTATGGGTGGGTCAACAGGTTGTCCGGGTACGATCAGATGTCACCACAACAACACACTGACATATTAAAACAAGACTGAAATAGCGATGAGAAGTGAAGTTTTCTCACAGTTTACACAAATTATAAAAAATTACATCGTTTTTCTAGACTTTTTGGAACACTATTTACTTTTTTTTGACAAACACAATTTGAGGTTATATTCACCCAATCAACGAATCAACATATTTATATATAAAGCCAGTCACAGTCGTGGTTCTCTTTTGACAGTCTTGCCCGACGTGCTAACTGTAGTTGCGATTCCGTAATGACAAACCTGAATTCGAACAAAATTTCGCTATCTTGACCATAGTCTCCCTGTTGTTCATCCAGTTTTTTCTACTCGTCAACCAAAATGAAAACTAATTTTTACCTCCCCAAAGAAAAAAAAACTGGAAGAAAATCTGGGAGACCATGTAGAAAGGCAAAGAAGAATGACTATAGATACGGCTCCTGTTTAACTGACCTACAAAGAATTTATTGGGCACACAATTATTGTAGTGGCGAAAAATTTCGAAAGTGAAATACCATGTTTTTTGGGCGTTATATAACATATCACGAGAAACCATGTTACTCCATTTCCGACAGTCTGTTTGTCGGCTAATCTTCAGCTTGTCTGTAACTCGGAAATTACTGCTCGAATTTTGATGAACTATCATCACAAGGTTACTATTATGCCAAAGGACCAAACAGGTTTATGAGTTTTGAAAATCGGTCCAATGGCGGACATATTTTTGTAGAAGTTAGACATTTTTGAGTTGTAGGGGGTGGTTGATGATATAATATTTCAATTTTCTGACGTTATATAGAGATATGTACCAGTCTACAAAGAAGAAGACGCCGAATCAGCACTTTTGCCTTTGCGAACCTTTCTTATCAGTTTCAGTATTATACAGGGTGACTTTGAAGTTGAGTCATTAATTTTCAGATAATGATTGTAGAAGGAAGATAAACCAAAATATGTGTGTAAAAATAAAAAAATAAATAAAAAAAAATGTTACCTTGTTTAATAAAGTATCGTCCCGACAAGTATTTCAGTGCGGACCTGTATTTGATCGTGCGGTCTTGGAGCAGCATGCCCTGACCTGTGAGGTCTTAAGTCACCTGAATCACGAGCCCTTTGTACTACATTAACAAAGGCACGAGGGGTTGGTTGCACTCGATTGGGAAACCGATTCGCATAAATCCGTGATGCATCCGGGAGCATTTTGTAAAGACTGCCCCCCCGTAAATAAGAATCATGTCCACAAGTTCAGCATTTTCGTAAACATGTGCCATTTTTGATTTCGTTTGAGCCACGCAACAACCACTACTATTCACTAACGCGTTATCGACTGACGAAAAACATCGTGATAAACGTTTCAAATTCTTTCGGTTTTTTGTTTCCGATGCGATGAACCGGTCAGGCGGATTATATCCGTTGTCGCCAAACACGAACATATTATTATTGAGACAGGGCGGTACTCAAACTTCCAAAGGGCTATAATTTTGTTACTTTAATTTTACCAGAAAAATGGTAAAGGAAAAAAACATTTCTTTTGATCAGATCTACTCACTGTTAAAATAAATGACTCAACTTCGAAGTCACCCTGTATTTCATTTGTTCTTTCCTGTGCTTTGTATAACTTACTTTTCTTTTAGTCTCGATTCAGAAATTAAACCCTGAGCATCTCATTGTACCCGCTTTTCTCAAATAAAACTTTTTCAAAAGGAACAGTTACTCAAGTTGTATATACCTTCAGCAACGAAAATTATATGCCCCCATTCTACAGACTTAACACATCACGCATTTCCGTGTACATTCGCTACAGCGATGAGTCATAGCAACTTGCAGTATGGCCAGATCACTGTCGGTAGATCAGGTGAACATATGTATCTATGAATTAATTATATGGACATGTTCGACTAGCTTGATCTGTTTAGGTTCTTTGTTATACATGTTGGTCGTAGCTCGAAGGGGCTAATTTGTGCCAGACATAATTCTTTATGCATTGACAGCGTTGCGTAGGAAGTGCAGAGTCGACCTACCTGACGCTATCCTTTTTTGTTGGCCTAAATTCGAATTTACAGAATCGCAACCATATCTTCTAAGGCGGGCAAGGCTGTTAAGAACGTCGTCTATAACTGTTTTAGGATAATTGCTCGACATAGGCGTATCAGATAAAAATCAGGAAGGGCAAATAGGTTACCAAAAAGGAGGACAAACGATTGATTTGTAAACAATTTATTTGGAAAATACTTCGTTATAATACCTATAAAATGAAACTCAAGTTACAAATGATAAAAGACTAGATTAATAAAAATTACAGACAGTTTACATTTAGTCATAAGCTTTAAAGAGGAAATTACATGTACCAGGAGGTAAAATCATAAATACGTTATAAATTCAAGATTATTTCAGTAACAAATCTAGTAATGTGGATAAAGATTTGTGATGAAAAGCTTTATCTTCTTGATCACAAACTGACTCGTGTACAATTTTTGACATCCTGATATACAGCTTTTATAAATACTCCAAATATAATTTTGGCAAGATTAAAAAAATGATTACACATATTTTCCATTGCACATTATTAATATTATTTATGTCTTCTCAAATAATAGCCAACATCAAATGCACCATTGTTCCAAACTTGTATTTAACTTACACGCCAATATAATTAAGATAATCCAACTAATCAGTCATAAACAAAATTGCACATTGCAGTTTAAATTTAAGATATTGATAGATAGTGTGTAAGTTATAATTATTCATTTTAAGACTGACCAATATGAATGACAATCTCAAAAATAAAACTGGATTTTCACCCACATCTATTGATATACCTGTTGTCATTCATTTGGTTACAGTCCATATTGCACATATCAAAGAACAGTATCGACTTGAAAATCACTAGGTGTACTAAGAATGGTCAATTTTATCATTATGATTTTTGGTGATACTATATCAAATTGTGGTTTGATTTATCTTGTAAAATATTTTCGTCCAGTTCGAATTATGTTATGCTATCTGTTTGGCATGTGAACCATTATTCTAAGAAATAAAAGATAAAATTAGTTCTCGGAACACTTGAGGAATGGCAGTACTTTCCCGTGTACAAGCTGCCAAAGTATGGTTTGAATTGAGAATCGCTTGAATCAACGATCATCAACATTACATACAATAAATAATAATTAATTAAAAAAAGTATACATGAAAAAATCGAGTATATAAAATAAGGTACAAGATTAGCAGTCAATAAATAATTCTAGAACTGTCATATAGCCGACTTGGAGCACCATTTTACATTTATCTTCTTTAAGTTTACTTTCAACAGCACCATAATAAGTTAAGCACTTTTTTTGAGTTATATATCATGAGCGGGTAATTGAGAAAAGCGCTTACAGAGGGTCTATAATGACATGCAAACATTTAAGTAAGTTATTCTCTTAGGCCCATTCTTTATATGAACGTATTTCATAAGCAGCATTTGACACACAGGGTTGTGAAGTTTTCAGAAAAAATGTGTATTTCACTGCCGGGTCGAAATCATTTTTTCGCATCAGCTAAAAGAAAATTGAGTGATCAAATTTGTTAAAAAATGAATGAGACTTCAAAATATTTTTCTTATCGGATGTGCCCTTTTTGATACTAAACGAACTCAATAGCTTAAAAAACAAAAGAATACACGTTTTCCGCACAGCACTCACGGCATCAGATTTTTAGCGAATTTACGCCGAAGTATTTTATAACTCGTGCGTCGGTCGAAAAAAATCAAGAGATTAAATTTTTATTTAAAGAGAAAGCAGTGGCGTACCATTTTCTCCAACAATATCCAATGCAAAATCCGTACGGGCGCGACTGGTAGAAATAATAAAACTGTAAATCATGCAACTTGATGCATAGAACATGTGTATCAAATTTCATACAGATATCTACAATAGTATCACAGTTATAATAAAATACAGATTTTTTTACGCAAAATTGTACCACTCTGTATCTCAAAGGTTGAGACTTAGGACATACATTCATATGATTTTTTTCTTAAAATAGGTTCTAAAATCACCTTCTTGAATATTAGTGTGTCATTACCGATCACCCGGAAGATATAATTTTTTCTAATATGTCTTCAATGAGCAGTAATATGAATAATCTTTATATATTTACAGAGTGCTTGAGAGGCATTTGGTTAGACGTTAACGGTAAATCCGTGACGCCATTTAATATTTTATGAAAGTTAAAATATTATAACCGATAAAAGGTGACCTCATCTATCTACACTCTGCTAAACACCCTGCACAGATACAATTTAGTTACTCTGTCCCCTTATCAGTTTCATAGGATTTGTAAAAACAAAATCGACAAGCTATATGACACCTAAAAATTTATAAAAAGATAATATTAATAATATGTACAAACAAACGATCAACTAATTCAACATTGAGGTGAGGAATAGTGGATATACGGATTCAGTAAATAAGACAAACATTATTTGTGTCACCAATTATGCATAGCTATATTCTCCTAAAACACGCTGTCTTGCTTATACTATATGATACCGTTTATCCAATTCCACATTTTGACTTACAAAAACATCAAAGTTAAGGTCAATAAAACCTTAGCTACCATCTAATGGAATCAAATATAGTGGAATGACGTACCGCTATGAGTACAAACGGAAACAAAAATATATCAACGTTGGAAATAACCCAAATAATAAGAAAATTACATATTAAAATCACATCAGAAGATGATGAATCAATGTCCCAAAGATGTTTATAGTAATGCATAAACATTTTAAAAAAATCATTAAACAGAATACATTTATTTAATAGCTCAGAGAATTAAGTGCTTTTGATTTATATACTCATTTAAAATTGGAGAGCATTATGAAGACCTAGAATAACCAATTATTTAGATATCAATTCGTTTTAAAATTCGATCTCACAATAATTGATTCTTAGACCTCGTACAAATATATAAAAATGCATGTGGTACTAAAATACCCAACTTACAAACTTAACAACAATCACGTGTATGTGTAGAAGTACTCAGACCCATATGTTAAAGCTAAATGTTATTGTGTCATATTAAAACGTGTCTTTATCAGCACTTTGCTGCCCCGGTCATTCGTCTAATTCATCCATTCGGCATCGCACCGCCATTTCTACCACCTCCAAACTGGGATAATCCAGCTCCTTTACTAGGCACAGTACTGCTGACAGGATGTTGGAATTCTACAGGAAACAACAAACAATAATCCAATTTGTAATTGTAACGATTGGATAACTAAAGTCAAAGACATATCCCCCTTACGACATCTGTCATAATGGTGAGCTAGTTCACAGAGAACATTTCACTTAGCTTATATTTTTTGCTATGTACCATCTTTCCTATTCTTATCAAAATATTGAAAAGAAAATCAAACTGTTGTCGCGCGCTTGACCTTAGACAATATTTTTTCTCGAACTGTCATGTCAGTTATCTCATGTTTTGGAAGGACAATTTCTTAGACCCTCTTTAATTTTGTCAGTTATGTATGATATGATTACAATTTTATATTGTCACTCTCAAAATAACCTCGTTATGAGTTCTCTTGAGGTGATTTTTCAGCTTCTAGAAGAAAAAAAGTCACAGGACTCAAGTCAGGCGAATTGCTGAGGAACCACAGGAATTTTTTTAATGGCCAAAAGCTCGTTTCTTGACATTGCTGTGTGACAAAGAGCATCATCGTGATGCAATACCAGTTATTCTTGATCTGATGAACGCTGGTGTGAGTCAAATTTAACTCTTTCCCGATCATTGTGAATGTCAGCCGATGATCTGAACGCACAATATCCCTGATTATGTCGATATTTTCATCGGTGATGACACGAGCGAGTTCAAACTTCACATGTTCCCCTGTCTCCCCTCCAAGCCCGGCATCTCCAGTGATGCCAGACTGAACGCTACGTTGCCAGTCTCATCACTTAATTTACAGACCTCGTATGTATCGCCTCAACAGTTTTTTCAATAATTTTTTGTTAATTTTCATGACTTAGCAACGAAAGACACATGTTCCATCATCTATATCCAAGTAGGTTGATAAAAGTGAATTGTAAATTTGATGCAAAAAACGGTTTAACCATCCTAAGAAAAAGGTTGTACACTAACCTAACTGCAGTTGATTCCTGTTGAACTTTAGTGACGGGAATGCTGTGTCAACATTTTATTTTGCAAAATGGAAAACCCTTGCGGATGCAGCCGTAAGACAATCGAATAACAGAGGGGCAGAAAGACATTTTTTTCTGTTTTTATGTCAAGTTTAAAAAACTACTTATAACATTGAAATCGCGTTTCAGGACAATCGATCTCATAAAACTGAGATACATCAATAAAATGTGAAAAGAACAAATTCACAGGTCACTATATGGAATATTTGTTATTTTCACGTTTTATTGATGTTTCGCGGTTATTTGCTTGTCCTGAAACAGGATTTCAACGTTTTAAGTAGTTTTTTTATTGATACTAGAATGAGTTTTGTAGTTCACACAATATTTTTGTAGCATGTCATGAAGAAGAAAATAAACATTTTCGAAAGCTTGACATGAACAAAGAACAAACTTTCTTTTTGGCCGTCTGATAATCGATTGCATTAGGGCTGCAACTTCAAGAGTTTTCCATTTCGCATCTTAACTAGTCTATCACTCACTGAAACTCATTCTGCGAGGATTCCATTTTCCTGTAAGCTTGTGTATCGACACCTTTGGCGAAAGCGCTTTTGACCCAATATACGAATTTCTTAAACTTACCCTAGTAACTGGTCTCCTGGTGAAAGGCGGCCTGTGAGTGGCTGCAGCACAGGTGAATTTGTCGCGTTTCTCTTGTGGTTGGGTTATTTCGGCACTTCCACCATGTGATGACGACACGTACCGATCCCCGTTAGTATACTCCTGTAGATGAAGTAAATTTTATAATCTGATGTCGGATTAATATAACAAACTGACAGGCATAGCCCAACAAAATTTTTCAAAATGATATGTATCCGTCAGAATCTGCACGACAAGGAGAGTGTCAAAAGAATGGCACTCAATTGTGCACCTCAAACTGAAATAGTTGTTTCCAGATGTATACAACTATGAGTAGTTTCGTAAGTCACGATACTGTCGACCCTCTCGTACGATGATAGTCAACTACAGTTTCCCGGCATCTCTGAATGACTGTGTTTGCTTCTATGAAGCCAAACAAGAACATCAACCACGTAGTCCCATAAACTAAATACAGTAGGCTGAATAGGATCTGTTTGCTTTCCGTTTCCGCGACTATAACCAACCGTATACAACGTTGTTGTTGGCAAAACTACTCGATCGGTGGCGTATCACTTTTTTGGCACCTCACAATATTGAGTTTTTCAGTAGACCCATTTTCTCCGGTTTGCTTTCCTTCATCTGTTCCCAAATGACTAGTACTATACCGTACTTATGATTGCCAAAAAGCATGAAACAACGTTGTATATGCTTGATTATGGTTACAGACAAAAACATAATCGATCCCTTCAGCCTGAGTCTAGTTTATCAAACTTTTGCATAGAATGTCAATGTTCGAAGCACGGTGAGTACTTAGTATTCCCCTGACTGATAACGCAGTGTTGCCGAAAATGCCAAAAACGTAATTATTCATCAAGATCATCTGTGATTCCTCGGATTTGTCCTTGTTGGAGGGCGTGTGGAAGGGATTTTTTTAACAGTGTTTAGGAATTCCTTGCCACTTAGTGTCGGGGAAATCTTGTGGAATATAAGACGTATGATCAAAATGTTTGCTGTACACACCAGTACAACGATTCGCACCGCCCTGTACAACCAGCCCGGCGACGTCATCGCAGTAGTTATCCGTGCGCAGACAGACAATTCGGTGAGACGATTTCGTTTCATCTGACCTGAACATCAATCCGGCGAAGAAGTGATCAACAATATTAACATATGAGCATACGAACATGCCCACCCCTCACTTCGGTCTGCCACAAAACATGACATTGACGAGTTAAGCAGTGATTATTTTACTTTACGGATGATTTTTGGCATTCTATAATTTTTAGCTCAGAAAGAAAAAAAGACTATTAGTAACGTTGAGTATTTCATTGGTTAGGCTGTAACTTAAAGTCGGTTTTGTCAACTTTTGCTAAACACCTTTGAATAAATCGCTAATAAGCTGTTTAATAAAAAATTGAAAATGACAACGATGATTTTTTATTATGAAATAAATTCTGAGGTGTTCGGGGAAAACAATGAATCTTTTTTCCGGCGTCGGTAATTTAGGTGATGGCTTGTCTAGATACTCAGATACAGACTGATAGGTCACCCTCATTATCGCATTACCTGTAAGGCAATAAGAAAATCAAAGCTCGTCTGTGTCTAATCAAATAATAAATTAAAATGTCAGGTGATGATGCTACAATTTCTGGGATAGAACAAAAAATATTCAGAATTTTAAAAACAAGAATGAGAAAAGTAGTTGCCAGGATGGTTGCAAAAGAAGTTAATATTTGTCCATGAAGATATGCCCATAACAAACCGTTTTTTTTTTCATTGATCCACCGCTGATCTTGCGACGTTTCAAGCTTCATAGAACTAAATACTGCCTAGTAGGGAGGCCGGGAAGCTGTAGTTTCCTGCTGCTGTACGCAAGGGTCGGCGATACCGCGTCCGACTAAACTACTCAGGTGGAGTGTAACACAATGCAAACATTCTGAAGTCCGAATTTAAAGTCCAGGCAACATAGTTATAAATTTGTTATAAATTAGTTGCGAGTGTTATAAATTAGTGTAGCAATAATAAATTAGTCTATGAACAGTAAAACGGTGTTTTCATTACAGTATGCATATATGTTACGCACTCAATTTTCTGTCACTGCCTCGCGTGCGAATTGACACGCATATAAAAGCACTGTTTAAGTATGGTCGCGAGTTGCCGTCCCATGTTGATGTCACGGCACGTTACGTCACGTTTTTGTGCTTTTCACAACTTTGTAACTTTGCTAGGGTAGTAATATGAAACTAAAGCCAATAGTAAAATAGTTTACCTACCTTGATGCAACTGGCTGACTGACTATTAACGAGTTTATTCTGGCAAACTGCTGTAGTTTCAGGTGATGTGGTTTCTTCAAATGAATTGTTAACAGGAGGTGATTTCTGTGATGAATTATCGTTAGTAAATTAATGTTCAATGGTACCAGGTGTTCTTTAGTATCCAATACACCTTTAAATAACGTTTGAAAACTATCGAAATAATACAGCACAAAAAGCCATCTGTATATAGACCAAGCCCATACCATGATGAGAAGTTGTCAAGTAGCACGAAACAGTTGTCCATGGTTGGCCGTCAATGTGGTCGAACGAACGAAAGCTATATCACTAATTTGTTAGATAACTACTACCGCACAGTTATACTAAATGACACAGAAAATGCAACACCGACTAGGAGTGCTGTAATTTTGAGCATACTTTTACACGTTTTAGGTCTACTGATAAATAGAAAGTGAAATAGCCGAGATATCCCACCTTATTGTTAATAATGCGTTCAAGCTCCTCTGTTCTCTACACACTCGTTAAGTCGTCGCGGCATTGATTGGATTAGGCGATTGATGTCTTCATGGTGTATTGTTTCCCAGGTCATTTGAATTTGGTTTCATAGAACCTCCAATGCCCATCCCCATCATGTCCCTTACATGTTCGATGGGAATGAGGTCCGGATATCCAGGAGGCCACTGAAGCAGATTTACTCCGGACGAAGTCTACACTAACACGTGCGACATGAGGTCGTACATTGTCCTGCTGAAAAAGTTGATCTTGCAAGTTTCCAAAAAGGGAAGCATATATGTGGTTGTAAAACTTCGTGGATATAGCGCTGGACAATCATGCTACTTCGAATGAACACTAATAGTGACCTGTTGCCGTAAGCATGGCACCCCATACCATAATACCCACAGTGCGATGAATATGCCGTTCGATGGAATTTTGGACTTTCCGTCTTTCACCACGTCTCCTCCTTACCCTTGCACGGCCATCATGTGTGCCCAAACAGAATCTGTACTCATCGCTGAACACGACTGCGTTCCATTCCATATTCCATTCAAGTGTCTCCCTACTCCATACTAATTGTTGCCGACGATGCTGTGGGGTCAGAGGTAGTACAAGATGGGGACGGCATGAAAACAGACCAAAGGACCTTATTCGGCGATAAATTGTCCTGATTGTTATTGTCCTTCCGATAGTATCAAACCGATCGATCTCCAAGTGCTATTTGCCTCAAATAACGATCATGTCGCTCTGTAGTCTGTCTTTGACGTCTAGTACCTTTATCGTCGATTTCGGCCTTCTTGGATGCACGCTCGACAACATCTCATTAATTCTAGCCCTTCGATGCATCCGATTCCCGATTTCTTTAAAAGAAAATTCGGCTTCACGTAACCCGATTATCCGAACCTTCTCAAACTCGGAAAGTTGCGTGAAATTAGCGCGTCTGCGAACTCTAGGCATTATAATGCAATGAAACAAATGGAACCAACTCAGAAAAATCGCTGAATATATATCGCTGACAAAAAAACCTTAACAAAAAAAGTACGGCTTTGAATGCCTTCAAAATTTTATCAGTGTATACTTCCATGATAGCAAATATGTTTACACGTATTTATCAAAATTCAATACATAATCCTGGGTGTTGCATTTTATTTGTCACTTAGAATATGTTAAAAGTTTGCAATGAATTATATCTATAATTCTAGATGGTAACTATGGCAGATGCCCCATTAATGTCAGCAAGTCGATAACACTTACGTCATAATACTGTTGCTGTCGAGGTGATTCCCTTTCATAGCTATCCCTCCGCCTCTCTGTATACTCAGGTTCAGGACTATAACTTCTCCGTATTTGTTCAACCCTCCTAGGAGGAGTTACCTAAAAGGTTGTGTAAAATGTTATATACATATTATACATAAATACAAAATTATGAGATTTTCTGTTTTATCAGTTTTGATCTGAAGTCGTCATTCAGACAATCTCTACAAGATTTTCAGAAGTAACACTGTTCCACGTTGTTTGTCTACACATAAGCATGACCTCCAAAATAATATGAACAGAGCTAGATGTATGAGTTTGTTAAATATTAGTGAACCTCACCTGCCTAGGTGGAGAATATTCTTGGCTATCTTCTGAGGCGTCTTCTTTCGGATAGACGTCTTCACTTTCTTCCAAATCATACTCTGTCGTCTGTGTAATGGGAACGATTCATGTTAGATGCCATTAGTCAGCAAAATGAAACACTGAATGCCAATGATGATTAGAAATTAGTAATGTAATATATAAAACAAAAAAAAATGGCGTCAAATAGGTTGACTCTGCACTCCCCACGTAACACTGTAATTAGTCCATAAAAGATTATGTTCGCCACAAATTAACCCCTCTTGGAAAAAACTAAGAAAAAGGATAATAATGGAATCAAATGGATCAAGTCAGTGAAATAGGCTCATTCAATAATTAGTCTTCAGTCCTATCATTCGAATTCTTAGAATTACTTTTAGATACTAACGCCAAAAAAATGACGTACATCCTCCATCACCCTCCAACCCACAATTCCCAGGAAGACCCAGACAGGGACCACGGAAACGATTTTTTCGTTTTTTAACCACTACTCCGCCGCCATTGGATGGATTTTCAAAATTTACAAAGCGTTTTCGTCCTTCGCATAATAGCAACATTTTTCAAAATTTCATTAAAATCCTAGCGATACTTTCCGAGTTAGGGAGGGGTCAAGAATTAGCGGACAGACATAAGTTACCATTTTCGAAATTTTTAGTATCTAAAATGTCCTCGTCTATTGGCGCGGTAAGTAAAAATCCAAAATAGCGAGAAAAAAGACCATTAAAGTATTTACGTTTTTTTGTTCGTTTTCTTGCATCTATAGCAAAAGATGAGTGAATGACACATCATGCTTAGAAATTAGTGATTAATTAAAAACCATGTACTCCAAACAGTTTAATGAGTATCGGAACATAAAACAACCTACCATCACTTCTTGCCTTTGAGGACTGCGCTGAGGAGGACTATACTCCTGTTCTGAATACTCCTGGTATCTGCAACAAATAATGCCAATATAATTTTCTGGTGGTTGATTCTACAGGGTATTAAAAATGTTGTCCTAAGAAGGAATCATGTCAACATGGTTCGAGGAGATGGTTAAGTTTATCCGTCTTTGTGTTTAGCGCAAAATTGTTCGCCGCTGGTTTTTGCAAAAATGTTTTCTGAAAGCCATATGGATTGTGGTTGAGAAGCGTTGAAGTTTTTCGCCCATAAAAATGGCGTCAAGTAGGTTGTCTCTGCACTTCCTTCACAACGATGTCATCGGTTCATAAAGGACACAACTTAGTCTTGAGAAAAAATATGTATTACCAGAAAAAATAAACGGCCACGCCAGACAATTTACAATTAGGCCAGAATACCTATTCATTTGCCACGTTGCGATCTAGAAGTGTCTCCCGGTCACGACACGGTTTTCCGCACCGATCAGACATCGAAGCAGATGTATCAACGTTAGATGCATTACGTGGGACACGCGTATTTAAAATATTTCTCTATCATTCCAAGTTTTAACGGAAAATGTACGATGTGTCAAATTTGTCTGATAGGTGCATACATATACTAGCGCCAAAAATTGACATATACCCTCCCCCACATCTTACAAGGGACAGTTTTCATGTAAAATCAAAAATCAGTTTGGCTTTAAGATACTGATGCTATTTTTTTTGCCCAGCCAGTGGCGTTTTATTGTTTCGCTAAACTTAAAGACTTGCTATCACGAAAAGCATTAATGTAGACGATTTTGTAAATTCTCAATGTAAAGCGATCTATATGTCTTTCATATTTTATTTTTCAGTATTATACATACATATATAATTATGTTCCTGAAATATTCTTTACGCTAAAAAGTTATTGCGATTGTCCATACATGGAGCATTTAAAGGCACCTATCTAACCAAATCCAGTTACAGTTGATAAAGTACGAACCTATTATACTGTGGCTGAACCGCCGTTTGTGTAGGCGACGTCTGGTACTCTTCCTCGCTTTCTTCTTGGGTTTCATCAACAGGATGCGTTAAGATTTTGCCGCGTCGTTGAGCCTCACGCAACTCTTCTTGAGTTATCGCTACGTTGTCCAGTTTCTGTAGCTGGGGCAAGGCTCTTATCACTGCTAACCGATACCTGTACACACGGTGCATTTTAGTATACCAGAAGTCTACCGTTAATACTATTCGTATATAGTACATCATAAGGAACGAGAATCAGTATAAATGACAACACTGGCACAGTGCTACCCGTCCAGGAGTGTACGCTTTGGTAAAACAAGTGCGAAGGGTACGTAGAAAGAAGCTTTAAGTTGTAGGGTTTCGAGGGATCACAATGATGGTGACCTTGACCTTAGTCGATACAGGGTCAAACGAATATTTTCAAATGGATCCCCCCATTTTCACATTGGAATTGAAAAGAAAAGGATTTTTTTGACCATGGCTTTCAAGGCCATTTCACGGTTAAATCAAGACACCGAAAAAAATTTGCTCTAGCAAAAATTCCGTACAGCTCAGTTGTGAGAGTTATGGCGATCACCCAAAGGTAATCTTGACCTTCAAGGTCAAGTCAAAGCTTCCAAAGAAAACTTCTCATTTTTATACCGGAAATGGAAAAGGCAAGAAAATTATACGTCAAAATGTGAGTTTGACTTCAAATAATATTTACGCTTGACACGGCGTTGACTTTCAGGTTGGAAGAGTCAAAAGCCAAAGTCATGGTGATGGTCGCATTCGGATGTATTATTTAGTCCTCTTTTAAATACCAATGTAAATCAAGGGGGAGTTCTAGTTGAAAATAGTCACTTGACCTTGAAATTACATTAAAGGCCATAGTCAAGGTTATCACCGTTTTCCCTCGAAACACTACACATTTTGTTTTAAGCTTTTTCCAGCATACGTAGTTTTTGGAATATTTATGTGGGGAGATTAGAATGGGATACCTCGTATATCAAATTAGTGCTAGAATATAAATATCAGTACCTACCCAAAATGAAATTTATTTTTTTGGCACTACGCATTTTTGATTTTTTGAATGTCTAGCAACGAATAGTCTTGTTAAAGATGAATATATTCAGTGATTTAATACTACATTTTCGTAACAAATACAACAAAATCTTCAAATAAATTGTCGTGAATTTCTTACAGTCCCAGTCATTTACAGTGGTCTATGATCAGTTCAGATTCAGAACGTAGCTAGGCAACATCATATCACCAATTAGTTTTGGGTGACTGCATTTGACAGTATCTGCTAGCCACAAATTCCTTGTTGGGAATAACCGATTGTTGCCAATTCCCAGATTTTCCAAAAATCCTGGTGTGAGATGGTCCATAAATATATAATTGTTCACAATGGAATAGGATGGTTGTCTGGGCAACCAATTCCACAGGTGGCGTCTAAGAAAATTGCGAACCTTAAGGTATCCACATCCAAAGCTGCTAGCTCGCGGTATTGGTGGATGTAATTCGTCTACAAAAATCTTTAACGATTGAATCCTCATAGTATTTTCGAAATTAAAATTAAACTTAGCATAACTTCCTACTACAATAGTGTACACACATGTCAACTTTCCTAATCTACTCAATTTAACTTACAGCTCTTGATTCCCAGAATGCCTTGATTGAAACAAATGAGGATGTTAAGAATATAAAACGGTTTTAATGACTATGAGTTATATGAAAAAATAAGTAAGCAAATTAGGCATATTTTGTAATTTAAAAAACTCATAGTGTATGGAATAAAAATAAATGACTCACCCTTCGATGCTTGCACATGGATTTTCTCCAAGCCAAAGATTCTTGAGGTTCGTAAGACCCTGGAGGTACATGATTTCGTTGAGATCTCGGATGTCATTTTGACGGATGTATAGTTCTTCTAAGCGCTTGCAAAACTGGAAGTCAGCCAAGCTGTTGATCTTGTTTATACTGAAAGAACGTTTTACATAATATAAACCAATTAGGCCATTTTTCTTGCGAACAATAAATAGTTAATATTCATGTTTTCAACAAATAAAAAAATACTTCCAATAAATGAAAAACATAAGTTGCAAGTTTTGATCATATAAATAACCGTAGGATAGTTTTCGGCAATTACTGACCAATCAACGACCGAAATTTTTTTCCAAAATTTTAATTTCGGAAGTATGTCACCGAGTGCGTTCAGCTCACGGTACAATGGAAAACTATAGTTTATAATGTATCCCCTTACTAAAACGATCGATCTATGTAGTGTTGCAAAAAGTCACGATTTTTTTGAAAAAATCAAAATCTGATTTTGTCGATTAAATCGTGATTTTTTCATTTTTATGGATTTGTAAATATGGCAAAAATGAACTTTGAAATAACTTATTTTCATTATTTTCTCTATTCGCCCCAACATATTTGTTGTCTAGATTTAAAGTAAGAAAATTTCCTCGGCCACATACAAAAAAATTGTTTTCAACATATTTGTTGTCTAGATTTAAAGTAAGAAAATTTCCTCGGCCACATACAAAAAAATTGTTTTAACATGTCATGCGCGTGGCGCGGCTTTCCTGAAGAAAATTCGTTCGTCTTTATAATGAGCGGTTGACGCGAGGCGGATCATTTCTTAACTTATAATCGGCCCATACGTTCATCAGTAAATTGCGTGTCCCTATTTCTAGTTTAAATCGTAGTGTGATTTCACAAGTTACCTGAAATGCCCCGAAGTGGTGGTACAACAAAATACCGTATTTGGCAATATTTTATTGAATCATCAAACTATTAAACAACTATTATTGGCTACAGCTTCTTCAGCAGTGTTTTCGACATTTGATGTGGTACGTTCCAAGCTTCAAAATCGCGTGGGAACCGAAATAGCCGATAATTTATTTTTCCTTTGTAAATATTACAACTGACTTCCTAAGCACATATTTTGTGTTTCAAGTTTTTTCTAGTTAGCTTGAGTAACCTTTTTGGGGTAAATTTGATAGCCCCTGTTATAAGCTTCAATATTTGATCTAATTACGCGTCTACCATTCTTGAATAAGGGCTATTTATTCAGAAAGCAGGGCAGCATTCAACACCCGAGTAAACCAGCCCCACAGCACTGGAACTAACCATGTTCAGCGGTTTCACGCTTATTGGCAATCATCAGCGCGATTTAAGCTAGATCTCTAGAAATTTGGAGAGAACTTATACCTCTGACAGGAGATACTTTGTTCTGTTTTGGTTCGTGGTCCTACTTAGACCGCTATGAACTGTTGATAGCCAATGTATGAACTATCTGTACTCGGTGGACCCCTATTGGCCAGGCGGACGAAAATGGTATTATTAATTTCAAATGGTGAATAGACCAACATCTACTACATCGAGAGAATCGACGGCATCAAACGGTCATAGTGATGACTCGCCTACTGGCGCAAACTGAGATACCTACAGATGCTGTTCACTCCCGCAGTGGTCGATTCTGCTATGTGGGGTAAATTCAATCTAATATGACAAGAAAATTACTAGTTTTGGTAGATAGGTTAACGATCTCATTAACAATATACCTTTTTCGCGGCATTCGCTGTAACTCAGCACTAAGGTTCTTCAGCTTTAGTATAGAAAAAAATATATCGAAGGAGACGAAACGAAACAAAACGTTCCAAATATAATAAACAGTTCTGTATTGCATGTGTTTACTCTTATAAGCACAGCAGTTCATTAAAAAGTGAGTCACGCCCGTTCCGCGTAGGTCTCCAGTTGTCATACATCGCCGATGGCGTCCGGGTAATGCCCTAAAAGGCTCGCCAACACCTTCAAGGACAAACCACTACGGACGCCCACTCTTCCTCTTTCCACCGACTAATTATGTGAACTTGTGTGTTTGAATTTTACATACATATACATAGGTATATCGTGCTCCGCATAGTTTCGGTGAATGTTTATCAGATTGGAGGAGCCGTCCTGTTCTACATGTTTGTTCGGTATCGATTGCCATGAAGTTGGCACACAATCACACACCAGACGTATGACTAATAGGTCTTACTTCCCATGTATTTTAAAACTTAAAAATTCGTGAAACGTTTTGAAATTCAGATTGTTTCCATGGGTTTTCAAGTCACATACATTAATTCAAAAACCACGTCAGCTTACGAGATATGCCTTTCAGAGCTTCTTCTTGAAGAGTTATGCCACCAAGCAGATTGTATCGGACTCTCATATTTCAAGTCATCTGCGCAAAATGTGCTTCGCTGTTTCGTCCACAAGAGAGATTTTCGTATTTTCTAACAGCGAGACTGCTACCTTTTTTATTACATTTTGAAAAAATGGGATCTAAAAGATACCACCACCATTTATGAGAGAGTAACAGCACTCTGCTACTCTCTCACAGATGGCGTTAGAATCTTCAATCCCTTTATGACCCCATCTAATGCTATTTTAATTCGGGGATTGAAGGTCTTCCTTTTTGGATACCAAAATACAGTAGAAGTTGGCTGTCTTCTGGTAGCATAAGCTAATCAATGATTTAGTCCATCCCATGTATATTAATACACCTATATACATATATTAAAAAAGAACAATGGAAGATTGTGTAAGCACCTGTTCGTATTTTTACAACAAATAACAGTGCTACTATAAACGCGTGTTGGATTACTTCAAAAGTTCATTGTTTTATATGAGAAATAGAGTAAAAGTGGGCGAAGAGAGCTACTAATATAAGTTCAGAACAATGCTTGTTGTAATGTGGAGCATTCTACAAGCGTCACGGACTTCATTTCTTGGAGATTTAGTTTTGCTCATATGTTCTAAGCAAATTTAGTTTTTAGGTGCCAAAATTAATAGACAACATAAAAAATAAGATAAACAGTTCATTCCTTGCGTTTCTTCTAAAAATGGTAGTCAAAGATGTCCAAAAACATGTTATCTCAGTATAGTTTCTATACAAAACATTGTTTAATAGACATGTTTTGTAGCTTTCCATAGCAGACATACTGAGACTAAGCCGATATCAGTCGAAGAATTAATAAAAAATATATTGCCAAATATTACTAAATTTGTGTCATTTTACAAATTCCTTCTTTCATATTTACCATTTCAGAATCCCATGTGACTGCAATTAAACGAAATTCAGTGCAATGGGGTTATTCGAATATCGCTATCAAAAAATCTTCGGTACGGCGAAATCCTATTTGTAGCAGAAAAATATTCCTTATGTAGCCTTCCGTTGATTTCAGTGAGATATTGACAACAGTATCGCGAACCAAACTCCCGATTTTCCCACGAAGTACATTTCTATCTAATTTGCAAATACACAGGGCCCTCTCACGGTACAAAATAAATGCTGATCAAGTTGTGGACAAGTTCTATACGTAACTGCTGCACAAATATAGTCGAAATCACGAAAGATGACGATTACGTCATCATTTTAGTCTGTAGTAAAGACAAACGACAGCGATTTGTGAATATTTCCAATGAAGCTTCAAATATGTTAGACAGAGACAAACAGAATTTTATTGTCAAAACAAACTGTATTGCTAATTTGCATGTATCCGACAAAGATAGACGATGTTTTCATGTTGCAGGATCGATCATATTTGAAAGATGAATAGTTAGGTTATGTTAAAGCAGGTTAGGTTGTTTTCGAATAATAGTTTTTTCTTTGGTGTTAATGTCTTAAGGTGTATTCTACTCATAACTGTTTCTTCAAAATAAAAACTCCCCACTAAAATTATTATTAAGGCATCACTTAAAACCATGAAATAAAATGAAAATAAAAATAATCACTGAAATAACCTTACTTGGCAAAATCATAATACAAGTTCATGAGTTTGTGATTTTATCATCGACGTATGTCCATTGATTACTTCAGTACAATTTATGGTATGACGTAATAGTCATCTTTCGTGGCTTCAACTATAGTCAACGCCAAACAAAGTGGCGTGCACGTCATCACGATAAAAATTCCCCGACCTAATGCCTAGGTTTCTATCACAAACAATTGCTCTATTGCAGTTTCATATTAATGTGATATATAAATTGTAAAATGGTCATTACTCTCTTATTATGGTTAATAGTCATATAAACATTGTTATTAAAATATCACATAAGTTGCTTTCTGATAAATTTAGACGCATTATGCGAAATAAAATGTTTTGCAAACGCTCCAATCACTTATCGACATGTAAACGCACTAAACCGATTTCGCAGCGTTGACACATTGTCACCTTGAAACTTATTTAAACTGGGAACTGACATTTGTATTAATTTTGACACTGAATCAATTTGTGGCATTTCAAATCTTTATAAATCCTTTGGCCCCGCATACTGTAAATCAACAACTGTTTGTTTCAAAACAAAATTATTCATTTTACGAGTAGATGAAGGCAATTTTGGTATATAAAGATGCCCAAACAGTTAAATAGTCGGTGTAAGGAACTCGTGGCCTCGTTAATGCACTACTTTGAGCAAGAAAGGGACAACAACGGGCCTTTGTTGCCTTTAAATGCTGTTCAAGAGGTAGGTTACTAATAATTATATGTAATGTATATTAATAATAGTGAAATTTTATTTCATTTTTTGTAGCGTGTTGCTGCTGCTTTAAAAATTAGTTTAAGGACAGTTAGTCGTATTTCCGAGGGTGTGAAAAGTGATGCAAATTTAGAATCGCCCAAGAAAAAGCGGAGTTATATTAAACGTGTAACCAACACAGCGACATTGGATACAAGTGCCATTCGAGAAGTGATCTATAATATGTATCACAAAAGTAAGATCTTATTATAATAACTTATCAGAAATTTGCATTAATTTGTTAACTAAATTATAACGTCATATTACACATGGTTTCAGAAGAACAAGTTACGATACAAACTTTATGGTCTCGATTAAGAGATAGGGCATTATTTGATGGTAGTGCCACGTCTTTAAGGCGGTTGCTTAGAGATCTTGGACTTAAGTGGCTTAAGGACAATCCGCGACGA